AACATTCCAGGACGATGGTCATTCATTCTTTCGTTCATTCATTCATTCATCCATCCATTCATCTGTCCATTCATTCGTTCATTCATTCATTCATCCATCCATTTATCTTCCATTCATTCGTTCATTCATTCATTCGTTCGTTCGTTCCTTCGCTAATACTTTGATGCATTTATTCGCGTTAGTTTTATCCACAACGGTTCCGGTATTGAGAAGAGCTTTAAAGATCGATCAGCAATCATCCATCCATTCATTCATTCACTCATTCATTCATTCATCCATCCATCCATTCATTCATCCAGATGTTGGTCGTTTTCAAATCTGCCCCCATCTTGAAGAGGGCGTTGAAAGTCCGACAGCCTATGCTTCAACTCTACGCTCTCAAACTGTTGAAGATCCAAACCAAATATCTAGGTTGCGCCTAATTATGATTATAATTATTATAATTATAATAATTATAATAATAATAATAATTATTATAGCTGTTATTTTTGTTTCATGTGATTTATAGCGAAGGAATGAATGAATGCATGAAGGAATGAAGGAATGAACGAGAGAGCGGATATATATATACGAATAATGGACAGATGGGTAGATGAATAACAACAACAATAATGATAATTATTATATTATTATTATTATTTATTATTATTATATTATTATTTTCAGGCCGTCAGTGGCGTAAGAGCAATATGAAAACACTGTCTGCCATCTATCAGAAAGTCAGGCACAGGCTGAATGATGACTGGGCCTATGGAAATGGTCACTCATTCATTCATTCATTTATTCATTCACTCATTCATTCATTCATTCACTCATTCATTCACTCATTCATTCACTCATTCATTCATTCATTCACTCACTCATTCATTCACTCACTCATTCACTCACTCACTCATTCACTCATTCACTCACTCACTCACTCATTCATTCATTCAGACCTGGACGCCAGGCCGTGGGACTTCCAAGCGGAAGAGAGCATCCTAAGAGCGGCCGTTGAACGCTTCAACAACAGGAGATACCAGACTTCTCTACCCCCGGAATCAACTAATCCGGCAAATTCCGTCAGCAGTGCTGGGGTGACGGCGACGAATTCGACTTTACCTAATACTCTGAGCGATTTTACAGCGGTTGATAATAGGTTGCAGAGTATTCTGGGGACGAAAGTAGAGTTGAGTAAGGAGTTTCGTGAGAATTATGAGTCTTGGGTGGAGAGGGAAGTTTTTTCTTGCCAGATTGATTGGTTTAGGTTGCTTAGTGATTGTGGGTCTCTGTGATCTGATTGGTCGGTCCGTTGGTTGGTTGAGTAATTTGATTGGTCGGTCGGTTGGTTGGTAGAGTAATTTGATTGGTTGGTTGGTCTAGTAATTTGATTGGCTGGTTTATTGGTTGATTAAAATTAGTTGATTGATTAAATATCGGTTGATTGATCGATCTTTATTTAGTTTAAATGTTTTATAGATAGTTCGATAGTCGATTAATCGATTGATATTTAATACTTTCATTAATAATTAGTTAATTGTTTTTATGTTCTTTGTTTTTATGTTCTACGTTTTTATGTTTACAAGGCTTTGAATGAAGTCATTTAAAAAAATTTTTTTCGTTTTATGTTGTCGTCAGCTATAATAGCGATTAAGATTATTAGAAGTCACATTGTTAGGTGGTTGATTTATTATAAATGGTTTAATGATTGATTGATTGGTTGGTTGATTGATTGATTGATTGATTGGTTGATTGATTGATTGATTGATTGATTGATTGATTGATTGATTGATTGATTGATTGATTGATTGATTGGTTGAATAGTAAAAAGAAATATTGACTAATTTCCAGTATCTATATGACAAAATTCATTCGAAATTGGAAAGTTTTTGTTTAAATAAAATGACATATATATGTTTGAATAATTTAAGGAATAAAGTAAAAAATTTTTTCAATATATATATATATATGTGTGTGTTAACACACATATATATATATACATTTATAATTTAAAAAGAATTTAATTACACTATATACTTTATGTATTAATATATACTTATATAGAATATGCGTATGTATAAATATATGTCCGTTGTCAGGTAAGGATTTATTTCACTTTTAAATTTGTTATTTAATGTTATCTTTGTAGATTCATTTTTTTTGGAAATCTCCATCTTTGAAGCCGTAATTTGTTTTTTGCTTTCTCGTCTCTGTCCGTTATTTAATCACTAATTTTTCGTTATTAATTCACTAATTTTCATTTAAAAATTTGAGATTAGAGTTTACTTTAACATAGATTCCGAAAATAAAGGGTAAGCTGATTTTATAGAAAGTTTTCAAAGTGTCTCAACCATATCACATCACACATCTCACTCAACAAAATCAAAAGATAAGCACCTATGCATCACATCACTGCATGCATTTTTCATTTTTGGCCATCATTTTTAATTTAAAAATTATTTTTTTCACTAATTTGAATTTTATAACCGACCTCTGTTGTCCCAATCAGGTTTAGAATAAAATGTCAATCATCATTCGTCTTCAAAATTTACCATGGGATGCAACTGCACTAAATGTGCGGCAATTCTTTTATGGACTCTCCATTCCGGATGGTGGGGTCCACATTATTGGTGGAGAAAAAGGAGATGTGTTTATAGCTTTTAGTACAGACGAAGATGCTCGTCAGGCTATGAAGAACGACAACGGGTTTATTGGTGGCACTCAGATTAAACTTTTCCTTAGTAGTAAAGCTGAAATGCAAAGTGTAATTTCTGCTGCTCGTGAACAGAACAGTCAACCAATAACTCACAGTGCTTCTAACTCAGGAGGGATGGTTGGTCCCATGAATCAGTTTGGTGGTCCGCAGGGACCTGGATTTTCTTCTATGAGATTGCCGTTTACAAGCCAGCCAGGCATTCCACCTTTGGGTTTTCATTCTAGATTTAAAGGTCCACTTGATTTCAAAGAACCAAATAATTTTCCATTCAGACCACCATTTGGCCCAAATGAGATTAGACCTGGACTTGATTTTAGAAATCCAATGGGGCCAGCAAATGACTTCAGACCTCACTTTTTTGATCAGAGGGGTGCACCTTTTGACCAGTTGAGGTTTCCATCTTTTGATGCAAAACAAACAAACCTACCATATAGCAAACCTTTTCAATCGATGGCAGAAGATAAGGGAGCTAAGAGTAATTCCTTTCAAGAACCAAGGGGCAGTGACTTCTGGAATGGCAACCAGATGAATATGCTCGGTCCACAGATGATCCGATCATTGGATAGTTCTCGAGATGATGGTTATCCTCATGGTGGCAACAAATTTGATAGAAAGTACGAAATGGGTGACAGAATGATGCCTCTGGTGATGTACCCGTCCAACGAACTCTTCAAAAAAGTCAATGATAACAAGGATAGAGGAGATATGGAGATGAACGACTATTCAGATCTTGGGAGTAAGTATTCTAATCGAGATAATGTGAGAAATGCTGAAAACGAGATGCAGAAAATGCTGAAAAACATTGATGACCGGATAGCTGCAGCCAAGGCTCTGCCGCCCAGCCTGCTAACAACTCCAATCAACACGAAGATGGTTTCAGATCTCAATGCCAACAGCAGCAACAACAACAGCAGCAGGAAGGATGCCAGCTGGAGACCTGACTCTGGTACCAGACAGAGAAGTCGATCTCCCGTTGGTGGCAGTAGGAGAGACCCGAAATATGGTGCAAGTTCTAGAGGCGATGGCGGTGCTGGTACTAAATCAGAATCTGGCTACTGTTTGAGGATTGAAAATTTACCTCCATCGTTCACCTACAGAGATGTGAGGACTCTGTTCAAAGAGTTTGAAATCTCGAAATCAAACTTGAAGCTGCTGTTGGATCGGGATGGTCGTCGAAGTGGCGAGTGCCTTTTGAGAGTTTCCTCAGTTAGTCACGTTGAAATTGTGCTGAAAAATAACGGAAGATTAGTCGATGGCTATCGACTCGAAGTTTCTCGTTGCCATGATAGAGATTTTGACAGTGCCCTGGACTTCCTGGGAGCTGGTTCAAGCAGGACTAAAAGTCGCTCTCGATCGCCCATTAGACGGGAGCCAGTTGAGAATGGAGGCTACTATATCGTCATTAAAAAACTTCCATTTTCATCAGTTTGGAAATGTTTAGATGGAGTTAAAATCCTCAAAGATGGTGGACCTTTCATGGAGATGAAACCAAATGGCTCAGAAACTGGACATGTTTTGGCAGAGTTGGAGCGAAAAAGAGATTTTACAGAAATGTTGGACAGGTGCAAAAAGTTTTATGATGGCAACCAAGCTTTCATATTTGGAATTTCAAAATCAGAATTCAGGGATAGAATTGAGGGAAGCAAGCTGATGAAGAAGGAGAAAGAAAAAGTGATAGAGAAAGAATCCGGAGACACTTGTGTTAGACTGAATGGCCTGTCCTGGTCTTCAAATGAAGATAAAGTTGTTAAATTTTTCTCCAGCTGTAAAATTGTTCCAAATGGGTTGCACATACTTCTTGAGGATAACAGCAAACCATCAGGTGATGCTTACATAGAATTTGAAACACCAGGTGATTGTGCCAAAGCTCTTGAGAAGAATAACCAGTACCTAGATAATCGTTATCTGATCATAACTAAAATTAAAAAATCAGAAATGATTAATCAATTGATGAAGTTTGTTTCTCGTGGGGGTAAGCTGATGAACAACACATTCCATGTTGATAGGCAGAGATCAGACGACAATGTCATTGGTAGATCCAACTCATCAAGTCTGCTGAACACGAGGAATGATCGTCTACCTATGCCATTGAGGGCCGCAGACTCAGGGCCGCCCTGCATACTCTTCATGCATAACTTGAGTTTCAGGACTCAGCTGGAGGACATCTTGGAATTTTTTGAAGGTTACAAAGTCAACCCTGAATCAGTTCAGTTGCAGTACAAAGATGACCAACCGACGGGCGATGGAATGGTCCAGTTGGCGAGCAGGAGTGAGGCTGAGAGGGCACTGAGGTCACTCAACCATAAGATGATGCTCGGCAGAGTGGTCAGACTAGACTTTTAGTCACCACCATCTTCATCACCATCCTCATCATTTTCATCATTATTATTATTAGCTGTCTGTCTGAGTGTTTGTCTTCCTTGCTGCCTCTATGCTTGCTCCAACCAATGCCCGTGCCCAGCTGCGTCAAGAAGATTGTGAATTTCTAGTGGGTTAATTTAGATTTTTTCATTCTGTTTTTGTGTTCTGTTCATGAATCACTTATTTGCAAATCATCATTCACTTACTCATCTGCTGGGTTTTACGTCTTGCTAGTATCAGAACGTAATATTGGTGGTGATGCTGGTGGAATTCTTCTCCTCCGTGAAAGTTATGGGCCATCACAACTAATTACGGTGATAGCAGTCAGTAATTAAGATGGCAGTTTCTGCTGGTAATTTTGATTGTAACTGTTATCAATAATTGTTAGTAGCAGTTTTAATACGGAAGCATTATGAAAACCAAACGTTAATCTATGATGGTAATCATGGATATTATCTATGTATATGTAATTAAGTCTTGTTATAAATAAATAAAACCAATTTAGTTTGTTGCTATGATATATTTTCAAGAAATAAGAAAATTTTCTGTACCTGAATTAATACTAGAAGGTATTTGAAATGTGTGTTTTTGGAAAAGTTAAGTTACTAATTCTATACAATACATACTAAAGAGTCATCAACGAACAAGACACCGTTCGCATGGCATATGTTAGGTAGAGATGGATTTCTTGTGTATTCAAACTTGGTTACTGCAGCATAAGCCAAGAGAAAGCCAGGCGTCTCTTCTCTCTCTCTAGTCAGAATTCAGTTGCGCTAGAATTTAATAGTTTTTTAAATGTGATTTTCTTGTTTTTTTTTCCTTAGCTATCATTTACTTGTTTGAAATAATTTACACGCATAGGTGTGGTTTACTTGATTTTTGTTTGTGTGTGTCCGTGCGTGTGCGTGTGTGTGCGCGCGTGTTTTTTATGTGTAAGTTAAATCGTGATAAGCAATTAATTTATTTTCCTTGGACTAGAGTTTAGATGGACTTTGTTTTACATATTTCTACTATAAATTTTGTTCATGTAGGTTAATTTATTCTGTTAGAAAAAACACCAATTTTATTTTTTTATTCATTCAATCTATCTTTCATTCATTCATTCGTTCATTCATTCATTTATTCATTCATTCATTCATTCATTTGTTTATCTATCCTCCAGCTTTATTGCATCAATTCTCGTTTTTTCTTTCTTTCCTTACTTTCACTTCTTCCCCTAAACAAAATATGGAAAATAAATTGATAAATTAGGGAAAAAACAAAGACAAAAAGCAAAAAGAAAAAAAAAACAAAGACATTAATTAATTGTTTGGGGACGAATTTTTATTACTAGTGACTGATATTTCAATTAATAGACTACAAACGGGATGTCGGTTATTTTATTTCTTTTTTATTATAGTTTTTAGTGTGTATGCGTGTGTGATATATATACACACTTAGATACACTCACACACACACACATATATATATGCATACATACATACATACATACATACATACATACATACATACATACATACATACATACATACATACATACATACATACATACATACATACATACATACAGTAAATAAACTTGACCGAATATGATAGATATTCAGCTTGCTTATGCTTCCCATCCTAAATTGCTGCCATCCGATACCCACACACACACACACACACACGCACACACGTCCAAACAAACATACACACATAAAAGGATATACTGGATGATATATGATGCAAATATTTTTGTATGCGTAAACATGCTACACTACTAAACGTTAAAATTTTGAGATGTTAAACAGATAGATAGTTAGATAGATAGATGTTTTTCAGAATCATTTTATTACCTTTGATAAAACGTTTCCGTGTATTTTCTATATAATTCAAAACATTTTCGCGTTTATAAATGTATGTATGTTTGTGTGTACCTACGTATGTATATATGTGTTGTATGTATATACTACTATAAATATACAACAGTAAACCACACAAACAAAAACATACAATTAGTTTTTCTCCTCTATTTTTATTTCGTTTTTTATCTTTGAACTAAATTTATACTATAGTGTATGTATAGTTGGATTTTCTGGTTAGTGTAATGTTATGCCTATAAATTGTCCACTCTCTCTCTCTCTCTCTCTCCCTCTCTCCCTCTCTCCCTCTCTCTCTCTCTCTTTGGTATTCTGTGTAATGTTTTTTAGATATAAAAAACTTCTTTTATTGGAAAAATTTATTTGGGTTGTGTTATCTACTTTTTTTTAATATTGTGTTTTTTATAACCTAAGTTTATTTTCGTCTTTTTCTTTTTGTATTTAGGGCATTTTGGAATCTAAATTATGTCTTATTGGGCATAATATGTGGTTAAAACTTAATTAAAAAAACGCAAGTAGATCTCAATGACATATGGTTCATGTGGGGTCCTATGCTAGGAAAAATTTGGTCTTTTTTGGTCAAACTACATAATCCCATGTTTAGGGTGACTAATTTGTTATGTTACGTCTTTTCAGATTATTCATTCACGATCCGTTTTTCTGAGGTTATTTTTTTTATATTTAAAAATGATAGAGAAGTTGAATGACGTTGAAATTTTTGTTTAGGTATTTATAGAATTCTGATTTATTTATTTAGTTTCAGCTAGGTTATTTTGACGAATAATTTTGTTTCTAGAAAAGGCGTCTATATTTGCGCTTGTATTAGTTTCTACGAATTTCCTTTTCTTCCTTTCTTTCTTTCTATCTTCTCTTACTCTCTCCCTATTTCACTCTCTCTCTCTCTCCCTTTCTCTCTTACTCCCTCTCATCTCTCTTTTTCTCTAATTTTTTCGTTCCAACAACTTATATTTATACGCGTCTTTTTACTCCTGTTGGGTCGATGTCAGTTGGCGCTGAAATCCGAGCTGTACTTCTATTGCAACTGTGTCGTTTTTATATTTGTACTTTTAATTTAGTACACGCGTGTACACACACGTACACACACACACACCTACATACATACGTATATAAATCTAACCTATCATATTTACAATTTCGAAGTCAACTTAAAACTTATTTATTTGCACAATGAATGTCCGTCTTATTTGTCTATAATTTAGTAGCGCTTTTGAGATTCAACAATAAAAAAGCGCTGTATATAAATTTCCGTAGTAATAATAATAAAAGTAATAATAATAAATAACGGCATCTCAAATGTATATGTCTTATATCTGTTATAGTTATTAATAAACTTATAATTATGTTATAATTATTGCTATTATAATTACTTATGATTTTTTTCCATTCCAGATAGTTTATTCTTCTCCACGTCCTCGAATGGTAATCTGTCTGTCTGCATGTCTGTCTGTCTGTCTCTCTACAAGTCTGTCTGCATGTCTGTCGGTCTGGTTGTTCCTGTGAAGAATGTTCAACCTAAAGAAAAAAAATATTGAGAAAAATAATATTACTAATGACAACGATAATAACCATAATCATAACTTTAACGAAGATGATTAATAACGATTGATATTTTATAAAAAAAAATCTTTTTCAATTGTACTTTGACTGATGTCTTATATAGAACAGTTACTAATTATTATCTCAACTGAAATGATGCTGTATATAAATCGGTCGCTCGTTTATTGATTTGGTTTTACTCCATCTCTCTCTTCTCTTTTGTTTTCTCTCTCTTTCTCTATCTTGCTTCTGTCTCTCTCTCTCTTTCTCTCTCTTTATCTATATATATATATATATATTTTATACAGGACGGATTTGATAGGATTGTTTATTGATGTTTTTTTTTTGTTCAAATTTTTGACATGAAAATGAAATAAATTTTCATTCGTATTTGGCTTCAGTTGTCTAGAACTTCAGTATATTTTATTGTAATAGTTAATTCAATAAATAAATAAATTATATTAAGGTATAGTATTGTGTTTTATTAAAGTTACTTTTAAATAAAACAATTGGCCATCCCCTGTAGACAAATTCTTTTGTGTTTGTGTTTAATTTAATCCAATGAGGAGTGTTGTTGAGTATCGCGGAAATAGCGCTTTATAAAATAATTGATTGATTGAATGATTGATTTTAAAACTTCAACTCGATCAAATTATCAAGAAAAAGAGAGTTAGCTAAAGAAGGGAGAGAGAGAAAGAAAAAGATGGAAGGAGAAAGACAATATATGAAAAAAGAGATAAAAAAAGAAAGTTGAATTAAGAGAGAGAGCGAGAGAGAAACAAATAAAAAAGGGTCTAAGAGAGATAAAGAAGAAGTAACTAATTGGGAATCTGAATTTTTTTTAAAGGCGTTAGAAGACCGTTTGAAAAATAGTTGAAAAGAAATTTTTTTTCTCATAATGATGACAATCAGAAGATAAATCGGCGATTTTCTGGAGAATTAATAGTGAATTCGTGGTGAATTTGTCGTAAATATGTTAGTGAATTTGTGGTGATTTGTTAGCAAATTTGTGGTGAACTGTTGGCGCCTTTGTTGTGAATTCTCGATGCGTTTTTTGGTGAATTTTTAGTGCATTCCTAGTGTATTGGTGATTATTTTTATTAATATTGTTACTAATCACAATGCCACCATCATCACCATCGTCATCATCATTACAAACAA